ACTTTTTGACTTGTTTGCCTTTGTCAACCACTTTCTGATAAGATAAATCCGTCTTTCATCAACATCACCCTGTATTGAAAAGCCATTCAAGTGGTTAGGGAGGAGGATTCTCCAGGCCTCAGCAAAGGGAGCCTGGTCTACCGCCCTGTTTGAACCACCACCCCCCCCCTTCTCCCCTCCAAAAAAGTAAGTACTCACTGCTCATCATAGAGGCTGAGCCAACCAGCAGCGGTGATACCTGTCAGTTGCCGCTCAACCTCCTCCCCTACCTTGAATTGTATTCAGCAGGAGCTCTGACATTTCCCTCTCCGCTAGCTGGACCACCGCCATTCAACGAGCTTTCGGGAGTCCGACCGCATTGCAAGGGCATATACCCTTAACCCGCCGCGCCCACCACAATTCGCATAACACCATATTCTCTGCTCAAGGTCGTCTCTTCGATATCACTGTGCCAGGTTTGGATCCGCCTCGTTGACTCTCGCACCTCATTCTTCTCGTCCTAAACACTCATCAAAACCAAAATACCTCACCCGTTTATCAGAACATCCCTCTAGGCCTAGACTCGGTCAACATATACCAGGAGTGCGCAGCGCAACATGGTTGTCGCTACAATCAAGTATGTCTCACCTCATACAGCTGGAGCAGGAGATCAACAGCCCTCGAATGGTTCCACCAGGAAGAGTTTGCTGACACAAGCTCTTCAAGGTGTGTCGTAGTGGGCGACGGTGCTGTTGGAAAGACCTGCCTCCTCATCTCATACACTACCAACAAATTTCCTTCCGAGTATGTGCCCACCGTGTTCGACAACTACGCTGTCACTGTCATGTAAGTCTGAAACACCTTACCGTTTTCGAGCGCTAGCTCAACCTTTCCCACCTTATCGAGCAATGTTGTCTCAGCTTTGTTGCAATGAATACACGCTAATGATGGGGCTCCTTTAGGATTGGCGATGAACCCTACACTCTCGGTCTATTTGATACTGCCGGTCAAGAGGACTATGACCGCCTCCGTCCTCTCTCATACCCACAGACCGACGTCTTTCTGGTCTGCTTCAGTGTCACATCCCCAGCGTCATTCGAGAATGTCCGTGAGAAATGGTTCCCGGAAGTTCATCACCATTGCCCAGGAGTACCTTGCCTCATAGTTGGTACGCAGACCGATCTTCGCGATGACCCACAGGTGCGGGAAAAGCTTGCCAAACAACGCATGCAACCAGTACGCAAAGAGGACGGAGAACGTATGGCAAAAGACTTGGGAGCGATCAAATACGTGGAGTGCTCTGCATTGACACAGTACAAATTGAAGGATGTCTTCGATGAGGTAGAGAATACCAGTCCCACTTTTCCTCCAACTCGAAGCTATCTCCACATTTGCTGATCAGAACCTTTGTGTCTAGGCTATTGTAGCAGCCCTAGAACCCCCGCCAACTAAGAGAGGTGGAAAGGATGGGAAGAAGCACCGAGGTTGCGTGATCTTGTGAGCTATGAGAAAAGAGGAAATGCTGCCAGGTAGCAGTGGTATTCGGACGGCTCGCCATGGTCCCCAGAGGGAGCTCAGCCTGCAGGTTTGATTATGATAGTTGAGACCTTACAAGCAGGTGCTATGAAAGAGCCTACGGCTCGGAATGAATAGAAAAAGACTTCGCGGTTTGGTCTGTCGTCTGCTGATACTTGTCTCATTATCGGTGGTTTTTTAACTCACTCACATGTCTATCCCAAGTGCAGCTCCCGATCGCTCTGTGCCGATTCCGCTTGAATGCATTTGTAGACAGATGGATCCGTTAGTACTGCTTGTTCGTGTTGTTATCTCGGGCTCGCTACTCTCGATGGTGCTCTTCAACTTTCTCTACACTTGATAGACCTGCATGAAGAATCTCCTGTCGAGGTTATCTTACTGCAATGCTCATGCGTCGCCATCTGCAAAATTCGGCTAATCAAGCTTTAGGTCCCAACTCTTTCCCTTACAGCATCTCTTCAAAGAAGACCGAAACAGGGAGCCACCTACTCTTGCTGCTCGTGTGTCCTTGTCCTTTCTGATAGCAATATCATTCTTTTTAGGGTAGCTCTTTCCGTGGCTAACATCTAAAAAGGGTACCTGGATGGGAGAAAACTATATAAGATGTTCTTCTGTGTGGCTGCTTTAATCTTGTGGCTTATAAACGTCTCTCTTTCGATTCGGATTCTTAGTGAGCAAGCTCAGAATGGCGGTCGGACGAGCAGCTATTTTCGACGGTCTCTATGTGATTGCACGTCATGGCACCTGCTGTCGATGTCCTGCGCTATCAAAGGTCGCGACTCATGCTAAGTGGAACCCCAATGGAGACAACACTATTGGTTATAGGCGTGGCCAGGCGCGTTGGTCAGTCCGCGCACTACCCCCAAACACCCACCGACTCGCGCCATTTCATAGACCTTCGCTTGTCACCAACTGCATCTTGTATAGTCTCCAGTTGGACTATGCAAAAATACCGATTGGGCTCAGTCGGCTCCCAAGAATCACTGTATACATAGGGAGTCCGTTCGGATGCAGGGAACCACCTATATAAAACAGAGACTGAGGATTTTGTGTAAGGCTTTGTTGCTCAGGCTTTCTAGCTGCGTTTTTATGAGACGCGAGTCTTCATTGATTAGGTCCAGCCTGTTCAGTGTTAGCCAGCTCGAATGCAACAGCAGAGATTCCAATCTCTAGTGTTATGTCTCAAATACGTGAAGTATAGTCGATTGGAGAACGGACACGTACTGATATTGTCTTGACGTAACCTGATCTCTTTACTTTTTTAATTAGCTGAAAGATGGCAGCCTGATGGTCCTCGCCACAGCCAAAGATTGACCGCAGTGTACAGATGCTGAAGTCTTGATATAGTATGGTATGTGTGAGCTTCATTGCTTAGAGCCTCTATTTTTCTGTGAACGATCGTCATATAGAAACATAAAAACATACTGGTGGGTTCTGGTCTATGTAAATATGTGCATTATGGAGGTAAAAAGGTCTCTCAGGCACCTTTTGAGTCCGGTAAGCAGTTCAGTGGTAAAAGTTGATCCTGCTGGCAGATATTGAACAATGAAATAGAAACAAGTAAGAAAACTCAAAAGGTGTAAAAGACTGACGATAGCTGATAACTCAAAATGTGAACGCTGCGTAGTGTAAACGTTTGTATCGCCTGCCTGTTATCTGGAAAGGTGACAAAGGGGACACAACGAAAGACCAGGCAAAGGGCTTCAGCAAAAGCAAAATCACAAACCGAGCAACATGCTAATGCAACAAACAAGTAATATATGTAAAGTTTCCGTTCGAAAGAGGTGACACTGCTGGTACCACTAGTGCATGTCTGCTGAAGGCAATCTGTTGCTTAGTCGCCATCAGTGACCTTGCATGAAAATTGCCTAAGAATATTGGGCATTTGGCATCACGGAATGCATCTATTGGACTGACTTTAGAACGGGGCTACAGAGAAAAAAGGAGTCCTCCGGCTTCTTGATGAGAAGGGTTGCACTGAGATCTAAATGTTCAGCCGGTGTACGGTGTAATGAGTATAGTATACGTGCAGGCTCATACCCTTCTCGACAGCCTTGTATTTCCCCCTCTGCTTCAATTCCGGTCAATGAGCGGAGATGGGGAAATCCACGGACACCATAATATATCCTGAGCCAGTGAGCAAAAGTATGACCAAAGTTCGCAACAGGGGTTTTGGCCATCACTCCCTGCAAACATTGTTTACAGGAACAGAGTGTTGCTTCTTTCTTCTCGCTAATCACACTGTGTAAGAAGCAGAATGGAAAGAAAGTTCGAGTCTCGAGCTTCACTGGGAATGAAAGTCTGTATCCCATTTTTGGTCCCGAAGTGCTGAAAGAGCCCATCAGATAATGTCTCTGGGATGGCAAATCATAGCAACAGTCGTGCATGATCCCACGAACGAGAAATTCCATTCAGGCAGAAGGCACTTGTTCAGGCATCGGCTGGCTTGAATGTAACTGACAAGGACAAACCAATTCTTTACAAGTGAAGTAGAGAGCGGCAAATCACCAATACATGCCGACAATTGCAACCGAAAAGAGACATCATGCAGGGAAAGTCCTCAGTGGTCCAGCTGCAGGCCGCCAATGCATCATGCCCACTCTGGTCAAACAACCAAGCATGTCTTACAGTGGTGATGCGGCCAGGACAGCTCAACATGGCTAACGCACCTACCTGCTCTTCCGGAAAACAAAAAAAGTACAGGAGCAGAGACGTCAGTCAAATCACTATACATCAAACCACAGACATCTTCCATTCGCGTCTTTGGCATCTTGAGCCGGAAGGAAATCTTTCGCAGAGCTTGGCCAAACGTACAAGAAGAATCCTCGGGAAGCATACATGGGTATTCTCCATCATCAGGCATTGCAGCAAGACTCTGCACCGGACTACTCATTCCAGTGATTGATGCCATGTAGGATCGCCGTACACCTTTCCAACCTATCGAATTCATTCCAAGGGATGGTTTTGCGGAACTGAATCGTAAGAACAGGCGCGACGTATCGCAGCATCAGTCCATCCATTTCATCGCATCGGATCTAAGATACGGCCTGAACCTACGGTTGGCAAGAGTGAGGGGAAGCGGTCCGCAAGGATTCTCTAGAGCGATTTTGGTTCCTGAAGGACTAAGCGTCCAGCTATCTATCTGCTTTTTGATGGACTAATAGAAACGAAGCCACCAGCTAGGCTGCCGACAAGCTGAAGCACAAGACTCGCCATGGGGCCGGTAGCGTCTATATGAAGCGAAAGCGCAGCACAGACCCAGGCTTCTCGTGTCGAGCTGCGAAGTGTGAGAGGACATGTGATTTTGGCGCAGGAGATTATTGAAGCCATGGAAATGATACCAGCAGCATTTCCCCAGGCCCCTTAGAACCTTATCACCCTTGTAGAGTTAGTGATCAAATCCACCTGCAATCCAACTCCGCATGTGCGCTGCTCCTTCGGCTTCATCCCACCCCCAACCCACAAACCTATCAACTTGCCCTTTCTCATAGTAGGCTGCTGATTTCGAGACTTTTCACTACTTTGTCCATCTCCTTCATATCCACACCCTTGGTTCCATGAATATGCTCCAGCATATCTCCGTGATAACCTAATTTGCGAAGCAGATAGCGCTCACCGTCGATGAATTTCGAAGTCGTGAAGATGGGATTCTCGTGCTCCAGGGGCTCGTCCTTGAGCCGCGAGGCTTTCACTTTACCTGCAGCGGTCTTTTCCTCGGGAGATTCAGCCGCCTGATGACGTTTTGTGATGGCAAGGTCAAGTTCAATGCGTTGGTCCCTCATTCGATCACACTGAGCTGCTTTTCGAAATTGAGTCAAGGCCGCTTTGTGATTATCTCTAATGGCATAAGTGATGCCGCGATAATGGTGAAATTTACTCTTTTCAAGCTGCGACAGCTCAGTGGCACGGTCTGTAGCCTCGATATTGTGAGTTGCGGCGCTTTTCAAGACGTCGCCGCAGCCTCATGGGGAGTTGTCCCTTGCTCTTTCGGATCTTCGCCTGCCTTGAGAGTACACAGGAGAATGTTGGTCCCACAGATCGAGATGAGCCGATCACTTGAGGCATGCAAACCTGGGTCTTCTACCCCGGAAATGTTCTCGTTGTCGGCCTGGGCTCTCTTGAATACATTCTGGGAGTCCTGATACTTGGCTAAAGCCAGGTCGTAGTTTCCCATCCGGAGAGCTTGATCGCCGACTTGCTTAATGGAGGCACAGGTGTGGTAGAGCTTCCAAGCTGCTGCACGAACCCAGTGAAGAGGCGGCATCATAGTCTTCGATATGTCCTGCGCGTAGGCGGCGTCGACATTGCCTTAGAAGTTCACATTCTGTTCAGCGGTCGTCAAACTGCGAAATGGCTTTTCGGGGTCAGTATGCCCTTATTAAAACATAGGATAGGATCGACCCCTAAAACCAGTTCTGAAGCAGATTGGGGGGGAGCCCATTACATGGCACCGTTGGATCATGATTCAAAACAAAGCAGTTAAACATGATTGAGATGTCAGACCAGAGTGCCGAAAAGGAAGGAGTCACTCCGAAATGACGTACCTCTAGGAGAGCCTTTTGGATGGCAAGGCTTGGAGAGCCGGCATCTGTGGGTTCGATCCGGAAATTTAAGTTAAGTTGCGGTCGTATTCTACTATTAGTGACACCCAAGATATAAAGCAATCGTGTGAAGCTAGGCAGATCCTGAACTAGCATGATGAAACTGGCATGGACTTTGGTGTTCCCTTGGGTCTTGGCCCATGGGAACTTGATATGCAAGCGCATAATGTTGTTCTTGAACCTGGCAACGAGCTGTGGCTTTTGACAGACAGTGGTAACTTCATGGTTTGTCGTGCATGTGAAATTCATCTCCCAGTCGCTGGAGATAGTCACAAAATGGTTTTCGCGGTAGAGCATCTCATGTGCCTCACCATGGATCTTCTTGCTCACAGACAAGACTGCAGTGTGCAAGCGGTATGGGCGTACGAGATACCGATCGGGTGGTTGCCGAACATTGTCGGCCGTGAGAAGGCGTGTAAAGATTTTTCGGCGAAGCTCTGACGTGATCTTCTCCAACGGTGACATCTGCTTCTGTGTAGCAGCGGTTGATTTTGGCAAGGTGGAAGATTGTAGGAAAACGGCATTCCCAGGTGCGGAGATGTAGCTTCCAAGTGCTGATGTAGCCATTTACAGAATCAAACTCTAGGAGAAGTGTTAGTGTCAAAGCTCGCTCATGATGGCTTCAACAGGATTGTTGCCAGTCTAGGGTAAACCAACAAGTTTACAATCTGGTGTCGCTTGGGTAATTAGGTAGAGTACAATGTACCACGTCCGTGAGGACAGATTGTCAAAGGCGGGAAGCTGTCAGATGACCTTTGATCAACTTGTGCGCGAGAAAGGGGCTTGGGAGCCTAAGCAGTATGTAAAGTAGTCCCAGATGCAGTGTCGAGAGATAGCATTGACAGCGTAGCGGAAAACGCGATTGAGAGCGAGTAGTTAGAAGCTTCCGCTACTTTCTTTCTATGGTCACTTGAGTAATATAGAAAGATCACGGTAATTCCATCGCGGCTCGTAGTGGTCCACAGTATGCATTCGTACTGGTCGTGGGATGATCATGCCTGGCCTTGCACGAGAACAGCCCGCCACAGGCTCGAACGATATTCACCAGGTAGTATACCAACATAAGCTTATGTCCTTTTCATCAAAGTTCTCCTCATCACTTAGCTTGGAGTCTGGAACGTGAAAGTTCGACAGGCGATAAATGCCAATGATGCCGCGTTTGATAATTCTAGTACTCATACCTTGCCATTTGCAAGTGCCTTGACAAGGCGATGACTTCTTGAACTGCGCCAGAGCATTTCTTTTAATCTCCATTAGGATCAAACCTCAGGGAAAGGAGGCTCCGATCAGCGTTTCCTACAGCCGTAAACATAGGCATAATTCTCGTCTACCGGCTCCAAGACCTCGAATTTGGTTCCCAAAGCCTCCTTCCCTTCTTTGATCATAGCTTTCAGCTGCTGGTTGAATCGCTTTAGATTCGCATCTTCTTCCAATTCCCGTTTCCGTATTCTCGCCGCCTGCCGGTGTACCTCTGCATGTGGTGGACTCTCGTGCTTCAGCGACGTGATTGGAGATCTTGGCGACGCAAAAGATGCGGATCGATCGGAATGCAAGCCAGGCGAGCCAGCGTACGATGTCAATGATGGTCTTGAAGCTGGTAGAATTGGTCTTCTGCCAAGCTTAGGTATTGGTCTTCGCGCCGATGTGTTCGAGGGGGGATTTTTCCGACTAGATAGCCGTGAAGGACTCGTCTCGCGCGAGGTAGACGTACTGCCCACAAGCACCCAGCTGGCACTTATCTCCCCACCGATTCCCTTCTCTCGCTGTACCTTCTTTGCTGCGCGAGGCGGCGTTGTGTGATGAATTTGGGACATGTAATCTGCGATGAAGTCTTCCTCAGGGAAGCAGCCAGGTACCAAGCTCTTCTCGCATAGATTCGACTGAAATACGTCGTCGCAGTCAACTTCTTGCCACATATTCTGATCGCAGTTCATATATCCCAGTGGTGGCTTCATCTCATATCCCAGACCGCCTCCAGAATAAAAGCCCTAGGCAGAATCAGGAGTCAGCATTGCTTCTTCGAGCCAAGAACCTGAGTAATGACACAAATCTCAGGAGCAAAAGGAACCTTGTGCTCCCGCAACATAACTTGTGACTTAGGCTTTGGTCCTAAATATGAAAAGATCATTCCGAAATGTACGTACTTTGAATGCGGTTGTCCTACAAAAATCCCACAGCTTGCCCGCCACTGAAGCTATGCCGTAGACTGCTTTGCCAAAACCATCTTGGATTCGTGGGGAGGCGTGCTGCCTTGGACGTCCATTGCTTTCTCTTGATAGCGCAGAAGCAGACTGAGGAAAGTAGCTGTCTGGAACTGACTGGGAGTCTCTGAATCCCCGCAAGTGTAGACCGGGTGACGCCCGACATTCTCCTCCTTCTTCGTCCATGGTCAGGCGTGCTGTTGGCGTATCAAGACCGCCGGCTAGCCTGTATTGCGTATTGACAAAGGGCACAGGGCTCAAGGAACTTGGAGACTCCAAGCCGGACGGTGTGAAAGAAAGCATACTTGGCGATGCATTTGACAGGGTTTTAAATGGTGTGAGTTGATCTGATGAGTGTGAAACATGCCGTGATCGTTCCCGACTCGCAGTTTTGTTGATGACATCTTGAGCGGGAAGTGAAGCTGTGGATCTGTGAAGTGAGCTTGACGCCGAGGGTGTCTTCGGAGGCTGGAAGAAGTGCGACTTTGCTCCCACGTTGATGTCGAGCTTAGGAGGAAGAATGGTGTCAAAAGAGAAGGAGCCAGACATGACGGTGTGGACAGAAGACATAATCACGTTGGAATGTAGAGGACGTCAAAAGACCATCAGGGCGGCCAAGCGTGCTATTCGGTTGCGGTCCACCACTGTTTGGACTGTTTTGCGGGGTTGCTATGTTGACTACCTTACTTTATCTGTCTTAGCGTCAACGGTGGGAAAGGCTTCGGATACACAAAGTGGGCACTCGTTAACTCCGAATTGAAAACTAGAGTACCTCCGTACTGTGCGACGGGAATCGAAATGGAAATGGAAATGGAAAGTGGAAATGGAAACATTCACTCGAGTGATAGCGAATATAATAGCAATCAGCGACCCAAAAATTTAACCATCTCATCATTCCTATGGTCCATTTGTAGGGATCCAAGCCTTTCGTGACGACCAAATGTGCTAATACTACATGGTTCTTCCGTCACCAAAAGCCATTGATCAAGACTGCAACGCCTTAAAATCCACTTAAACTACTTACACGAAGACTTTCCCTCATCCAACATCGCGGCTGAAATATACCTACACGAATGCAGAGGCGTGCCAGCAGCCTCGAAAGGTGAAGGAGATTCGTCAAGACGCTTCTATCTGCGCGCGTGCCAAAGAGCTTTACCCACTCAAGCTGCCCTTAGATTCGTATGTTTGTCACAAGATGTGTTGCGGAACTGATTTGTGCTCTCATCAGGACCACCACCACATATGACACAGTTTTGGGAGGAAGATACACAGATTCAGCGCTATCAATGCATTAGTCAGACTCAAACGTCACATTTGCTACTGAAGGGTTACATACCCTGCCGCGTCGTCCATCGTTTTGTTGCATCACAGGCTGCTGCTGGGGATAATACTGCATTGGATATTGATACCCGCCGGCCATACCATTGCCGCCCATTAGTGGATTGAAACCGGGCGGAGCGAAAGCGGATTGCTGCAACATGGGACTGGGGCTCATCCGCATGTTTTGTTGTGGCATCTGACCCAAGGATGATGAAGGGGACGAGTAGCCACCCATACCCATGCCTGTGTAATAGTCCGCTGGCGAGGCGCCTCTAGGCAGTAATGCTGGCTGATATTGTTGGCTCATTGGATTGAGTGAATTGGATGTAAAATTTGACGCTAGCTGCTCGTATGCCAGAATACCGTTCGGATCCATGGCTGAAGTTCCAGTGAAGCCTGTCTGCATTGGGTATTGCTGCTGAGGCACAGGCTGGAAGAATTGGCCGTTATACTGTCTATCGCTTTCTGCTTGATGCTGCCTTCTGCCTTCCCTTGACCCATGCTGTGGAGTACGATTGCGCTCCTGGTGAGGGCCGTGGCCATTCGGAGTAGGGTCGCGCTCGGACTTCACGCCCTTAGCAGACAGGCCCACCTCGTCCATAAGTCTCTTGTACCCTTGTGATGCCGAGGCCTTTAGCCGCAAGAGTACGTTGCGCACGTTTTGCATGACGTCGTTGCGCTGGCTTTCATCGAAAGATGGCGTGGTAAGAACTTTGTAAATTAGTGTGGCACCGGAGGCTTGATCACTCAAGATGTCTTCTAAGGTTTTGTTGTCCTCGGAGAAGAAAAGAGCTTGGAGGACAGTGTCCCTGGCTTCAGGCTCATTCCGCTGGTTGATGACTTTCAAGACGGTAAGATAAGCTACCTTATGTGTGCAAAGATGGACAAGATGAGGGACCAGCCGGGGTGCAAGAGCAGCCCGGCGATGAGAAAAGGTGCAAGTGTCCAAGAACCACGTGAGTAGAAGCGCACCGTTGGTGTTAGTCGCTAGCTGTACACTGTGAAGTGCAATAGCCGAGGCTAACATTCGCTTCTGGCTATGGGTAGCATGGTGACTCTCGAGGCAAGCACGCATGGCTCTTGCACCAAATCGCCCCTGAGCGATGTCCCACATACGGCTGAGCATAGTCTCGAAAATGAAGTTGTTGTACGGGTAGCCAAATCGTAGGCAGCCTTGCAGAACGTAATTGCCATATTGATCGAGGAATAGAGCTACGGTGTACGGTCGTAGACTGTTAATGATGATCTGGATTTGACTCGGCACTTTCGAAACGTCAATGATCTTCTGAGCAGCCCAAGTACCATTTTTATGGACCCCGATCTCTGCAAGGTGAGGGGCAATTTGGATAAGCATTTGCTCCTTGACAGATTCGGAACAGAACTCGAACAGCTTCTGAACAACTGTATTTCCAAGGTAGTCGGAAGCCAGCTCGGCGATCTCTGGAAGCATTCCCATTGCGGTTTCTTCAAGTTCTCCAGGAGTCATGGCATTATTGTCTATCCTTTTCCGAATCTCTCGGAGTTTGGGTGCGTCATGAATTCTCGCGTGACTTGGCTCTGAAATTGGTAGGATCTCGTTCTCGAAATCCTGAAAAGCTATGGCGGCATCAATGCTGTCCTCAATGCTGTAACGGTCTTCGGCGCTAGCTCCAAATTCATGAGCCATCTGCAACATCTCAGACTTCGACTCAGGCAGATCCGGCACTTCAAGGGCAGCAGCGGTACTCTGTGCGTGGACTCCATTGACCTGGCGATTCCCATTATTGTCATCGGTAGCTTGAGAGGCTTCATTGTCAGTCTGTCCATTACTGTAAGGATCAGGACTTCGTGAGTGGAAGGTATTTCCAGGAGTGCCGCCAACGGAAGCAGATGGGGCCTTTGCATAACCGATTCTCACCGGACCAGCTCCAGGAAAAATTTCTTTTCCATTAAGCGACTGCTTGGCTTTAATCGCGCTTTCGATGCTCTCAAAGTTGACGAAGCCACAGTTCTTGTGCATGAGGACTCTCGATGACTCAATCTTGCCATGGGCGCCGAAGATAGCTT